TTCAATATATGTCTGTTCATTTGTTTTAAGAAAAGTTCTATCAGTTGTAGCTTCACTTTCAAATTAATGACATGGTATGAAACGTCGTGGACCTGGGTACCAATGCTATAAATTGTCATTGGTCAAAATAGAGAACTCATCTTGGAGATTTATGTCTGAGCCCTTAATTTCTGTTTTCTGAATTTCCAGATTAATTGATTATATTATCTTCTCCTTCAGGTAGTTAGCTCTTTGTAAATACAAGTGAGTTCGTTATTTGAGAGTAGTGAGAAGGGAAAGACAGCTGGTTATATCTTTACCTGTCTGTGCATAGAATTCTTTCTCACCCTTGGATGGCTCAGCAGCTGTGCCCGCTAACTGTTAGATCTGCTTCATTTGCAAGTGAAAATTTTTCATGCTACAGCAAAAACTGCAGATTCATGCTAGGCTCTCTGAGTCATGCTGTATTAATCTATTGTAATGAACACTAAAAATGTTCATTTGAACAAATAACAAAGGAAAAAATCAGTTATGCTTAATTCTATAATGTCTACAGCTATATATTTACACTTGTATTACTTTTCAGGATCACAATTTAGAGTAGAACTTTGTAATTCAAATACAGAGAAGAGCTAAATAAGAGAAACGTGATTTCAAAATGTTTTGGAAGCTATCATATGATCTCTATTTCAATTGATAAGGTGAAATAATATTTTGTATCTTCCTTTTTCTTTAAGAAATCTAAAAAACCCTATAAAAAACAGCAGCATCTTTTTCTTTGATAGTGTCTTTAAATGGCTTTGTTGCAAAAAGAAGGAAACACTGATGTGATTTTCCTAACTCTTTTAACTGTATTTTTATCTGGACATTGGAACAAATCTTGAGCTGGCATAAATATTGAAAGTCTTGCAAAATGTCAGTTGAGCTGTGATCATGTCAGAGTTTGGCTTTATACATGTACTGACTTTCCTGCTATCTGGATTTTGTTGCTGTCCCTGTGACCATTAATCTGCATTCATAGCTTTTACTAGCTTCAAAGCTCTTGATGTGACTGTCTTCTGTCAACAAGAAGCTGCTCCTCTGTCCCTGTTTGTCTTTGAAGGGTCCCTCTCAGGAATTGAGAACAATGTAAAACCACCCAAACAAACAGAAGGGATAAAACCCTAGATGTCCTGAAAGTATTTATTAGAACCTTTTATTTTAACAATGGACAAATGTTAGCAAAGCTCACTCTGGAAGGCCAAATTTAGAGGAAGGTCTATTCAAATTCATCAGGGCTACATGGCACTCAGGTGTAGCTGGAATCAGAACTAGGAGTTTCCTGGCACCTGCCTTCACATTTAGACCTGGAATGCAGGTGTTATTTCTGGTGGATAGGGCACTAATGTGATTGTCTAATGAGGTCTACCAGACTAAACAGAAGGCATGCTAGGTGGTACAGGAGTAACCCCTTGTGCTAGTCAGCTCATTTAATGCATTTCTTTTTGCAGAGCTGAGGCTTAAGGAGGAAACTAAAGGCAGCAAATGTAGGAGCATATTGAATCAGTACTACATGTGACACAGAGCAAGCAGTTTGCTTCAGTTACCAGCATCAATGGCTAAACTTCTGGGTGCCATTCAGTATTTTTGGGCTCCATCCCATTCATATTTCATGTCTAGGTAGTAGAGGGAAGGGATGCTGGAATCTGAGATTTGTTGTCGTAAGTACATAATTATGGATAGGTAGTTGACCGTACAAAAGACGGTATTTCCCCATAAAATCGAGGAATAGACATGCAGCGTGGTTTTTGCTTGGAAGTGACATAATTTGAGCTAGAATGGGAAGCCTGAGTAAGCAAGGAAAGGAAAAACAATTGGGCAGCTCTTTAACCCCAGGAAATGATGTTGTAGGTGCACATTCCTTGAAGTTGTGAAATATATTTAAGCATGGCAGCTTTCATTATCTAGTGTAATTCTGCTACTTAGCTTACTGTCTGATCAACTTTATTAATACATGACTTTTAGGCATTCAAGAGAAGCAAGCGGAAGACAGGTTTGGACATGTTTCCTGTGAATCTTTGAAAAGCTCCATCCCTGGAAAGGTGATGGAACAACTTATTCTTGGCACTATCTCTAGGCATATCAGGATGAGGGGGTCATTAAGAGCAGTCAGCATGGTTTTACCAAGGGAAAGTCATATTTGACCAACCTTACAGCCTTCTATGAGGAACTAACTAGGTGAATAGATGATGGTAGAGCGGTAGATGTGGTTTATCTTGATTTCAGTAAAGCATTTGACACTGTCTCCCATGGCATCCTCATAGATAAACTGAGGAAGTGTGGTCCTGATGGGCAGATAGTGAGGTGGATCATGAACTGCTTGAAAGGAATAAGTCAGAGAGTTGTGGCCAACGGGACAGAATCTAGTTGGAGGTCTGTGACTAGTGGAGTCCCTCAGGGGTCGGTACTGGGACCGGTACTGTTCAATATTTTCATCACCGACCTGGATGAGGGAACAGAATGTGCCCTCAGCAGGTTTGCTGATGCCACTGAACTGGGAGGAGTGGCTGACACACCAGAAGTCTGTGCTGCCATTCAGTGAGATCTGGACAGGATGGAGAGTTGGGTGGGGAGAAACTTGATGAAATTCAACAAGGGCAAGTGTAGAGTCTTGCATCTGGGGAAGAACAACCCCATGTACCAGTACAGGCTGGGGGCTGACCTGCTGGAGAGCAGTGTAGGAGAAAGGGACCTGGGGGTCCTGGTGGACAGGAGGATGACCATGAGCCAGCAATGTGCCCTGGTGGCAAGAAGGCCAATGGCATCCTGGGGTGCATTAGAAAGGGTGTGGTTAGTAGGTCAAGGGAGGTTCTCCTCCCCCTCTGTTTTGCCTTGGTGAGGCCGCATCTGGAATATTGTGTCCAGTTCTGGGTCCTTCAGTTCATGAAGGACAGGGAACTGCTTGAAAGAGTCCAGCACAGAGCCACAAAGATGATGAAGGGAGTGGAACATCTCCCTTATGAGGAAAGGCTGAGGGAGCTGGGTCTCTTGAGCTTGGGGAAAAGGAGACTGAGGGGCGACCTCATCGATGTTTACAAATATGTAAAGAGTGAGTGTCAGGGAGATGGAGTTAGGCTTTTCTCAGTGATGTCCAGTGACAGAACAAGGGGCAATGGGTGCAAACTGGAGCATAGGAGGTTCCATGTGCATATCAGGAAGAACTTTCCTGTGAGAGTGACAGAGCACTGGGACAGGCTGCCCAGAGAGGTTGTGGAGTCTCCTTCACTGGAGACATTCAAAACCCGCCTGGACACGTTCCTGTGTGATGTACTCTAGGTGATCCTGTCGGGGGGCTTGGACTGGATGATCTTTTGAGGTCCCTTCCAACCCCTAAGATTCTGTGATTCTGTGAAAAGCTAGCCCATCTTAGACCATTTTTACTATTGTTTTGTTTGGTTTGGTTTTATTCTGTTCCTGCATTGCTTTTCTTTTTATATTCCTTTCAAAATAGCCTTTCTTCCTGCTGCTTAACATCTGCAGTGCTCATGCAGATGTCATCCATGATGCAGCCACACTTTGTCTGGCATTTCCTTAGTATATTTCAGTTTTAAGTGTAGCATCAAGAATCTGCGAAGTGGAAGCAGTGTCATCATCCAGATTGGTCTGTTTCAATGCAATCAGTGTGAACTTAGTTTTCTGCTAGAAATACCACATACTATGAATTATTGAAAGCACTGGTAACAATGTTGCAGTGCTCTAATTTTAAAAAAGCCTTCGCTTTATGTTTTCTATGTTATGCTATTATATGTGTGTAATTTACTTGCAAGTATGTTTAATCAGTTTCCAAAATGTTTGTTACCTAGTAACTTTGCTATTTTTCCTTTTATTCCTCTAGCACTTCTCTTGTAGAGTTCAGCCTATAATGCCATTTTATATTAATAAATATTAACATTAAAGTTAATGCTTGCAAAAGACACATTTTAGCCCTAACCTTAACACAAATTTATGTCTCCTGAAAGAGCTCACAATTTCCAGTCCCTGAAAAGAAGGGGACCTGTGGCAGCCTGGCAGAGCAGTAAAGTTTGCAAGCAGGACCAGTGCTATCCAATGCACTTGCACATGCACCAGACTTCTAAATCTTTTTCTTTAAGAAGTAATGCATGCAAAAACTACATTAATGGTTCACCTAATGTTTCTTTCAGCATGCACAATACTCAAATGATGTGATCTCTTTTTAAAAAATTTACATCTTCTGAATATTGTGAAAATATTATGTTCTGTGAAATGATATACTTAAAAAAAAAAAGACATATTTTTTTTTAAAGTATATAATTTCACAGAACATAACCTTTTACAGTAGGAGACATGTTCTTTTTCCACCACTATGTTGTCCTATTACTCCCATCAGGCAACCATCACTAGGAAGAAATGTGGACAAGTCAGGTTTTCATTGTACTCTCCATGAATCTGCTTGCCCACAGTGACTTGTGGCATTTCTCATTTTCTTGCAGTATCTTCTTGCCTTGAGAATGAGATGAGGATCAGGAGTCAAACTCCTGTTTCTTCCTTAGGAGTTCACAGCATTGCTATTAAAATGTCACAGGAACCTGTAGGTAGAGAATTGAAGACATCCTTTCTCTATACTTACTGAGATTAACAAAGCTTTTGGATAAGCTCTCCAAGCTTGCTCTCTGGCTGCTTTTAGTTGGGGTATTTTTCTGTGGATTTTGTTGTTGTTGTTTGTTTTTCAAATGTTGAAAGCCTTGTTTGTACAAGGACTCATGGCCATGCTCTGATGTATTTGTGAGTCTTTGAAGAACTGGAGCTTGAGTGGGGGTTTTTGATTTTTTTCTTCCCTTTGGCAAAAAGGTCTTTATTTCTCATTGACAGAGCATTTGTGCATTTCTGCACGATGTATATCCAATAGTATAACAGGGTTGAAAAGATTTACACTTTTGGGTTGGAAACATAATTTGTCGTAATATTTGCACACCTGTACTTCTTCTACTCACTGCCGTTTATTTTTTTTTTTTTCTTCTAGAATGGTTACCTGGGGAAAACAACACTGCTGTCTTGGCAGAATACAGGATATTTTCTTGCGATTCAGGATTGTTCTAGCCGTTCTTTTACTTCATTTGTTCCTGGCCACAGCAAGCAAAGGTAAGACTTTTTCTTCCTGATTTATGTAGTGTTGGTATTCCAAGTAAATAGCATTAGTCTTAAGGAACAGGACTTCTGAATATAGTCAGAACAGGCTAGTTTCTGCCCTCTTGAAATTGAGAGGAAAAATTGCCATTAACAAGTTGGTGCTTAGCTCTTTGAATATACAAACCCTATGTTTACAGTATTTGTTTCCATAAAAAATCATTAATAGTAACCTGTTTTCAGCTAGGGATGAGGAGAGAATGTAAATACAATATGTAATAGCAAGACAAATTACTTTATTGCTTTTTTTTTTACTGGATGTATTATTATTTTCAGAACATGGTGTTAAATCTTGTAGAGTGCTCTTACACACACACCACAGGATCCTTTGAGATCACCCTGTTTCGTGCATGTATGAGCATAGAACGTTTCCTCCATCACTTTTGATTGTGCATCTGAATATTGTTAGGAAAAAGATACTAAGGTCCAAAACATGTAACAGAAAGTATGTGTTTGAATTTGACAATCTATGTAGCAATAAATAAAAAATAAATTCATAAGGTTCTTGTACAAATTGTGTAACTGACACGGTGGTGCTTCGTATGAGTTACAGTAGAATCAGCAGTCAGATACAGCAATGGCTATTCTGTAAGCTGGCAGATAGAATCACAGAATGCTTTGGGTTGAAAGGGACCTTAAAGATCACTTAGTTCCAACTGCCCTACATGGGCAAGGACAACTCCCACTAGACCAGGTTGCTCAAAGCCCCATCAAACCTGGCCTTGAACGCTTCCAGGGATGGGGAATCCACAAATTCCCTGGGCAGCCTATGCCTCACCACCCTCACAGAAAATAATTTCTTCTTAATGTTAAATTTACATCTATCCTTTTTCAGTTTAATACCATTCCCCGTCATCCTGTAACTACATGCCCTTGTAAAAAGTCCCTCCTTAGCTTTCCTGTAGGCCCTTCAGGTACTGAAATGCTGCTATAAGGTCTCCCCAGAGCCTTCTCCAGGCCGCACAACCCCAACTCTCTCACCCTGTCTTCACAGGAGAGGTTCTACAGCCCTCTCATCATCTTCGTGGCCCTTCTCTGGAATCAGCCCAACAGCTCCATGTTCTTCCTATGTTTTGGGCTCCAGAACTGGACAGATTCTAGTCTGTCACTACTCTGGGACCTCCACAGATAAAGATAATAGATCTTGGCATTCATAAAGCTGCCTTATATCAATAGTGTCAATAGTCTAGCAATATATCAAACATTTATCATGTTAGTAATATGCATGGAATCTTATAAAATTAGAAGTGAGCCTTTTTTTTGCCATGTACTTAGTGGCTGGTTTTAGAAACCACTTCCCATGTTGTGGCATGTTATTTTACTTGAGAAGGTCAGAGTTTCTTGCAGAAGTGTACTTAGTAAGTATCCCTGCTTAATGACACTGTACTAGCAATGAAATTTTATAGGTTTACAAATTAGACTAATTCTGATTCTAATTCTCCAAATGTAATTTTCATAAAGAAAGCTTTTCCTGAGATAGAGTTTGAGATTCAGGTGGTAAAACTTACTAAGATGGTGAGGTTTTAACTTCATGTACTTTGAGTAGTATAAAGGACAGGGCTGCTCAGCAGATGGGTGAATGTTGTACAAAGTTTTGCATGGAAAATTCAACTGCGTCTAGAGTTCTGAGGAAACAAGCAAAGAGGGATTTCATCTTTAACCTTTGTATCACTTGCAAGTGTCAGTAATCCTTCAAGAAAAGCTGAACTGGCACAAGGATTTATTTGTGGTTCCACCCTTTTTTTTTTTTCCTTTGTTTGTGTTTTTAGGCTATTTAGGCACTGTCAGCAGCATCTCTACTCAGTTTTCTCCATATCTAAGGTGCCCAAGTATGTTTGTGTTCCCCAGGAAACATGAAAAGAGAACTGCTAGTGTTCTTTCCAATGCCTGAGGACACTCTGGATAACATGGTGTGGTTTATCCCCAGATGTCCAAATAAAACTGTGAATGAAAAGGAGGGCTGAAATTAATTTTGAGGAAACAGTTCTTAGCTTCAGACTTCAAAAACATTCAGCAGAATCAAGTGATCCACATGTCAAAAGTTGAGAGTTTTAAACCTTTTATAAAGAACAGTTATGAGCTCTAGGTGAAATACATTCAGATGCGAGATTCTTGTGATATCATTGTAACAGACTGTAGCAAGCCAGATATGTTACAGGTGGCAAACACTTGTGTAGAAATTAATGACTATTACTGCTACTGGTTAAATGCCAGATTGTGAAGAAACACAAACTTTTTACTATTTTATTAAAGAGAATACTTGCTGTATTAATGCTCAGCTACACTGACACAGTAGCTATTCATAACATAAGCAAAATAATGCTAATGCTTATGTACTGAGAGGTTATGCTCCTGTATGTCTAATTCTTACTAATTATGTCTGGTTATCTCTAGTAAATGTAATAGTTATTACTATCTGAAAATATTTGAAAAAGGAGGTATTATATTTTTTATTTACATTTGCATTACCTTGTCATTCTTAGAAAGTTTTATTTTAAATGTTTGGAAGTATGAACATACATTTCATATTTCTTTTAGGACTTAAGAGAACATGCTTATTATGTGGATGCTTTTAGTTTTAGCAAGGGTAGAAATCCCAGTTCTTGCATCTGTTAGAGATAAATACATTAAGAAGGAGAAACCCTGCATTTCTGAAAGAGTTTAAGTGCCTGAATACAGCAAATGACATTGAAAAATAAGCCAAAAAATTACTATTGCATGGAGCTTCCTTGACTCCATATTGTGATGGTTTTTTATTTTTCTGTGGAGATGTATTGAGCATCCTTTCTACTATGCTCCTTTTTCTGCACTGTCGTGATAAAGGCATGCTCATGTCTATGTTTCGGAACGTGATTTGTGTTGTCTGGACCCAAAGGAACTAACTGTAAGCCAGGAATGCTGTTCTCAGGGCACAGCCAATTCTAGCTCCTTGGTGCTGTGGTCAAGAGTGGGCCACAGCCCACAAATAGCTTTATTATAAAAGATAATTGATGATTAACGGATCTTCCAAAAGCATTAAAGTAATGTCATGTTGTACTTACTTTGCATCCACCCACATATCAAACAGACCTAGCCAAGATGATGCTGGTAATTATTTTCTAACTAATTTAATGCTGCACTGCATGTGTTCCACTTGGAACAGTGGAGTGCATTTTTCTGACTATGGTTGTGATTTCTTTTGTGCTGTTTTAGTATTCTTTGGGTAGCCTAACTATATAAATGTTTCTAAGTTGTTCTTGTAGCAATTCAAATGTTATTCATACCTATCCTCTTATCTTTGGCACCCCTTTTTTGTCACCTTTTTTTTTAACTCTTTGGAGCAATGTGAACCAAGCTTTCCAGTTTCCAAAAGAGTAGATATCTCTAAGTAAACTCTTTTATCAGTTTAAATTAATTCATCAGGCCTTGCATACCGATCCACAGCAGTCTTTTGTACAAAGCAGACTACTAGAATCATCAGCAGGATTGATCTAATTTTGCATAATTTCTGTTGGTTACCTGCCTTAAGACTGTTCCCACCTGCAACTTTATGTCCGGTTTGGCTCCCTTGACAACTTAGCAGTGTCAGCTCCACTTAAGAGTGTATTACCACTGTGAGCCTTTTAATTGATGCACTGTTGGCACAGAAACACTCAGCAATTGTTTTCTTAAAAGAGACTGTGTTACAAGTGTTGGCATATAACTGTCTATCTAACTAGCTGTTTCCTTTATAAATAAGCTTCTTGGATCTGTTCAAAGGAGAAGGTAGCACATCTATTTACATATTAGTCACTCTTTTACTAAAAAGGGTAGGTACACTTGAGTCTGCGTCTAAAAATTTCCACTTCAGTGACACTTCCACCTTCTTGCCTGATCCTCCTCCTGCCAGCTTTTCAGTAATGTTTTAGAAACTAGTTTTCTGTGCTGAGCTGTTCTTAGCTGAGTATCCCAGATTTTGTCTTTTAGCATCTGACAAATGGCTAGGCTGAATGAGTGAATTTTTGCTTTAGGGTTGTGCAGGGCAGGGAGTAGTTCTACTGCTTGCTGTTGGGTCAGGTATGTTTTTTTCTCCATTGCCAGAGAACCATGCTGAGTATTACCTTGCCATTCAGAATCTGCTGTTTGCTACTTAGGATTTTCACCTAATTCAGGCTGTACCCTGGGCAGTTTTTGTTTGATCTATAGCTTTGTATGGTACTTTCATGATATATGTTGAACTTCAGGAATGTTTCAGGGTTGTGAAAGATGATTACAAGTTTCTGCTAATTAGCATCATAAAGTGAGTCTCAAAGCTATAGTATGCAACAAGAACAGTTATCAATGACTTTCCATTAAACTGGATTTATATATTTTGTGTGTAGAACTTTTTCATGTAGCTTTGTATTCACAAAGAAGATGTCTCTGCAAGTAAATTCCCTTGTAGAGAACAGGGAATAGGGGCTGGATGAGATTAAATTTAAAGTAAACCAGTGGCTCCAAACCAAATTTCCTGAAAGTTAACAAAGCTCATTCTCTCCTAGAATATGGCTATTTTGTACCTTTCATGCTGAAATTCTGCTAGCATGCAAGAGAAGATTTAAGAATTTCAGGGATGGAAAAAATGGCATGGAGAAGCATGATCTTGTTCAGAGAAGCAGCATGCAAAGCTGAGACGTGAGAAGGCAGTAAGGGCTACAGTCCCTCCGTCTAGCTTTGTTTCTGTATTTTATCCAGTATCTGTTAAATGCGAAATACCTGTGGCAGTCCTGGGAATAGAAACCAGGATCTGTGATTCTCTTGTTGCCTCCCACTTGTTGTTTGAGTGCTCCCTTAGAAAGCTACAGGTTCATCCTTTATGTTGTGCATGAGTTCTACTTCAAAGCTTTCAGTAACAGCTATGATTTATTGATTGCCTCCAAATTTCCTGCTTCCCCACCTTAAAAAGGAAAAAAAAAGAAAAAAAAAAAAAGAGAACAAGGGTTGTTTCTTAATATGTTGTTTTGAAAACTCCTGGGTAAATACCTAGAAACACACTATATGGAAGAATAACAGTCAGATGATCCTTCTAAAAACTAAATAATTGTAAAAATCACCTTTTCTTTATTTAGATCAGAATTTCCTAGGACAATATAAAGCCGTCTTTAAGACTGCATGCGAGGATCCTTGGATTATGTCAACAAGAATTTCTCTGCGTCCCTTGAAAGAATTCATTGTCTGTGTGCAGCTCAAGCTATATTCCTCAGATAGTTCCTGGACAGCATATGTGTACAGTCAAGAAACAGCTCACAGCAATCTCTCTGCAAATACGTATGATCTTGGACTTACAGGACATGATGGTAAATTGAGGATATGGTTGTTTGGAAATGAAATAAATACGTCAGAAAGACTTCACGAAAACACTTGGAACCAAATATGTATCCAGTGGAAGAGTAAAGATGAGGAAATGAAGGTATTCATTAACGGAGAAAAAAAAGCAAACAAAAAACTACCCGGGAAAGTTAATTTGCCTGAAAAAGGGCAATTCTTACTTGGCTGCTCAAAGCTGCGAGGTACAGCTGTGTCACCTAACCAGGGTATGACTGGGGAGCTGTACATGTTCAGAATGTGGGATAAAGCAAATGTAAAGCAGTCGATGTACTGCGAAGACAGTGGTGTTATACGCTGGAGAAAGGAGGATTGGGTCTACAACAAGACAGTAGAAGAGGATAACTCTTTGCCATGTGGTGAGTACCACTGCACCCCTGTTTTTGAAATAGTATTGTTGTCAGAAGTTGCTCTGAAAGTGTCTAACATTTCTGTTCCAGATTTTACAAAGCCTTTGTCCATTGGTCATTTCTAGCTAAATGCTTAATGAGATCATGTGAGGATCTGTAGCTTTTACCAGCTTTTATCCAAATGTGAAAAGGGTATCAGCAGTTCTTTGAAGACTTCAGCTTCTGTGTCTGTCTGCTGTCTGTGTAATGGTGGTGAAAGCCAGATATGTCCAAACAACACTCCTTGGAGTATTAGGGCTTTCCATCAATGTCATCCTAAAAAATACTTAATTTACACACCTGCTATTCCACGGATAAATACAGAGGGAAGCATCACTGGTCCTCATTTTGCATATTCAGCGGACCAGAACATTGACAAGTGCAACTTCTAACTGCTTCACTGGCACTTTACACCACCTTTCGGCTGTTATGGTCTACAACTGTAAATATTATTGGAGGCTCTGATGTCTTCTTGTTTTTGCATCAGTAATGTCTTCCTTTATTAAAATGGCCAAATGATTTCTCACAAATTTCTTATAATTCCTCTCTGCCCTAAAAAGAACCATAAACACCTTTAAATCAAACAAAATCAATATCTTACTTTCAGAGAAATTGAATTTTAATATAGTTGAAATGGAGTTAAAGCAAGAGAATAATCTTTTTCTTCTAGCTTTTGCTAGACAAAAAGGCACACTTTAATTAAGCTTGGGTGGGATCCAGTTTATCAACCATAGTAAATGGTATTGCCCACTAAGACCTTCAGAAATTCAAAAGTGACTAGCTCAGTTGGTTCCTAAAAATTCTTATATAGCGTAGGTGCTTCAGTTAAACTTAGTCTTTATCACATTTGTCCTTAAAAATTGTACCTACCTATACATTTTTGCTGTAACATGCTATAATTGCTCTCTGACTGGGTAAAAGTATCTTCATGAGGGCATTAAAATAAGATGACTAGATTTCTTTTTCTGGAAGAGAAAGGTCTGCCCAAAAAAAACAGGACTCATGGAGAATGCTTCTAACACTGGGTCATAATGAATGAAATGCCTCTGCTGGCCTGATGCTGTAGTTGGGAGCACATCTTCTCTGTTGAGTTGTGTGTTTTGGGAGAGGAGCTGAAGGAAGGATGTCTTTTTTTTCTCATGTGTGACTGTGTTTGAAAGAACACTGTTCTAGAGCTGAAAAGGGCCACATACTGGCTACCAGGCAAAAGTTTGGTACAAAGAAAGTCAGAGAGAGATCTGTCTGGATAGTGGGATAAATGCTGAGCAGAATGGAGCATCTGGTTATCTTTCACTGAAGCACTGAAAGGACAAACTTCTTGTTTTCAGTTCCAGCACTTTCTGCCCTGAATGTAGAGCATCCTTTAGCATCACAGGCAGCTTGGTTTGGGACTGCCCTACTTCAGCCCAAATTGTTAATGACTTTAGAATTAGTGTTTTAGGGGCTCACAGAACCTTTTGTTAAACAGCAAAAGCTCTCTAGTGAGTGTGTAAGATGCATGGTTTCCAAAGCTCTGTTACTTAGCCAAATGGAACTTTAATTATGCTGACAGAGGTTTATTTCAGTAGAGACCATCTCTACTGGCAAATATAAGTTATAGCTTGGAAGAATGTAAGTTTTTTTTAAGAAAATATTGTTGGATTTGTTTCAACAGTTTTTTTGCCTATTTTCAGAATTTTTTGCTGATTGCACTTTTGCTCCAAGTCAGCCTGTGAAAGGCATAAATCTAGCAAATAGCAGTCCAACTATTAAACAAAAAAAAAAAATTGACAGTAGGAACATATATAATCAGTGGATTTGTTTCAACAGTGTTTTTGCCTATTTTCAGAATTTTTTGCTGATACACTTTTGCTCCAAGTCAGCCTGTGAAAGGCATAAATCTAGCAAATAGCAGTCCAACTATTAAACAAAAAAAAAAAATTGACAGTAGGAACATATAATAATCAGTGTCAGGCAGTTGTAATTGATGGTGCTTCTAGTTTTACAATCTGATCTCTTTCTAGAAATTCCTCTGTTCACATGTTTAAAATTATATTATTTTGGGTCTGCACTGTTTTTATTAAAACTGAATGATTTTGAGTAGTAAGCCTTCAGAAAGATCTGATTTTTCATCTGCAGAGAACATAATTGGCGAAGACTTACACCTTGGGAAAGGGCTATACCTACTGTTTAGACACAGAAGGTGAAAAGGAAGTGGTTCATTACAGTTGTAATTGTGCCGGAGGACAAGTTTCAGAATTTTTTTTAATGACCTGGTTGGCATTTTGTGCTTACATAAAAAGCAGTTAATAAAATGTTCAGTCAAAGGTTAAAGTGATTTCTGGGATTTCTCCTTTGCTTAACCACTCAAAATCTGTGCAGTGTAAGCCATTATCTATTTGGTGTCTCAGAGACAGTGATGCACTCCATTAATAAGCCTAGATTTACTTATATATACTTTGCATTATTAGCTTATTTCTTTACCTCTTTTTTTCCCACCTTTCTTTTTGTTGACTCCATAGATTCTTCTCCTTTTGGTTTTATAATTTATTTATATAACAATTATTCTGATTATCAGGACTGTGTTTTTTCTTAACTGTTTGAGGTCTAACAAGGACTGAAATCCCTATTCTGGTATGATTTAGATACTTGCTTAGCACTTAAAGGTATGCTCAACTTTATCCAAGTAGTTTGCTCCCCAAAAGTGGATGAGATGCCCTTTGCTGTAGCTACCTATCCTGAAGATCTGCAAGAAAGGATATATTTGCCTGCTTCCCAGTTTGTGGTGAGGACTGATCACATTTCTTGAACTAATGGAACTCGACAGTAGAAAAATTTGGATCTGAGTTAAAGATGCAAGTCTTGCTTCTCCCAGTCACACAGTCTTCTGGTTCTCCTCTGTTTGGTGTAGCCATTGCATGCTGAGCAGGTGTAAATACTGCAGGTAGGGTCAAAGAGGGGAGGAGGCCCCACACATTGTGCATCACTGACTGCTCGCATTTCCTCAGCTTCCTTTGATAATTCCCATTTTTCTCAGAATGAGAAGTAGCTTAACAGCTGTGATATGGAGAAAGAGTGCCACAGATTGAATGTATCTCACTTTAAAGATGATTTTCTGTTACTAAAAAAAAAAAATGGAAGTGAAGAAAAATGTGATCACTAGTCCAAGTGCCAACTTTGGAAATATTCTTTATCTTGTTCCTTGATTCCTGTTTAGCTACATACTTTAATGTGGACAAATCAGCATAATTTGAGAAAAAAATGCTCTCGGTAGTATAAAGCTTTGAATGATTTAAGAGAATACAAAGACAGAAGGGAATAGGTGAATTTAAAATGCTGAATGTTTGAGAAAAAACTTGAATAATCTGTGAGCACCAGCTCTTCAGCTGTCATTTTTACATGGGATATTTGTAAGCTACCTTCAATAATAACTTGACAACTGGAAGAAGTGTACTGTTTAAACATTAAACATTTTAGTTACACATTAAACAGTAACATTCTTAATCCAAATAAAAATATCCAAAATGTTACACCGTGCTTTTATGCAACAAGCACAGAGATGATGGGATATATTTTACCAATTTCAATGAGTAAACAAAATAGATTATTTATGGCATTACTATAAATTGTAGTGTTAAATGGTAGTGTTATTGGTGCCCTAAATTTTAGGAAAAGTCCAGTGCCTGTTGCTTTTGCTTAATTTTTTTTCTTAGATACAATTCAGTGTTTATATTGTCATATTTTAGATGTTTCTAAACTGTCCTGTCCAACCTTCAAGATTTAGTTGTTGCCCTTTCTTTTCCATGTGTCCTTTTCACTCCCAATATTGCTGAGCCTGCTGCTGGTGTGGCTGGAGGAAGTTTCCAGGCTTGGGGTAACAAAGCAGTTTTAACACTGATGGGAGAAACAGAAAGCGATTGGTGCCTTGTGTGACTCTTTGCCTTTGCATGCTCAAGGAAGAGGAAAACATCAGTTTGGGCTGTTCTAGTTTGAAGGTGTGGGCGATGGGAGGTATGATTTAGGCTCATGTAATCCTTTTTTAAGATTCCCTGATGTGTGCCCACTTCTGTTGACAGGGTCAGCTTTCCCGAAAGGGAAGATGGAGTCCCAAGGCTTTACTTCTTCATATCTAGGATGGAAATGTAGCTGCCACTCATCCAGTCTGCATCCTAGTCTGATACTTAACCAAACTTTGGGCCATATGGTGACATTTACTGAGTGGATCATGAAGACTGATGATGAAAAAATAAAGTAGTTAACGCAATATGTTTGTTTTTGTCTAAATCTGTAAGGACAGAATACTGCTGAAACCTCTAGAAGCTCTTAAAGGAAGTAAATTTGAGGAGGAAAAACAACCTAGCTCTGGAGTGCCTATTTGATGAGTCATGTGCCACTCTACTTTGTACCTACTAACAGAATGCATGTTTGACCTTCCCTTTCTTTGCTCTTTCTTGTTGCCTCCCTCTTCTGTGATACCAAAGGAAGTAGCTTTTTGGAAATCAGCCTACCAGACAAAATGTGATTTGATTAACCTCAGTCTCTAATGTACAGCTTTGTACAAACAGAACTTTATACAAATGGATAAAAACTGTATTTATAGCCTGATTTCCTAAAAATCTTTGTAACATGAAAGCTTAGTTAAAAATATTGCACTTAAATTTGCTGTTAAGGTTACTAAAGTGAACTGGCCAAAGTGGCAGAGCCTGATGTGAACAAGGGCTTTGACTGTTTTCTCACATTTGCTCCTGTTCAGTAGCTGGTGGTAATTCATCCTTTCTTCCATGGCACCACTGCTAAGACATGAGGTCTCATTAGAGGCACTAGAACATAAAATCAGGACTGCACATAGGTTCTATAAACCTATGCAATGTGCCTCAAAATCTAACTTACATAAAAACAATATAGGTTAATGTCTACAGTGGAATGGTTAGGGAGGATTTTTGTGTGTTACAATTAATGCCTTTGGTGACAGGATGGTTCATTTTGGTGGA